TTTATCTCTCTCCTCTTTTCTCTTTGTCTCTCGGATCCCTCTTTTTTTTCTCCTCTACTCTCTTCTTTCTACTCATTTCTCCCTCTTTTTTTTCTCTCTCTCCTCTTTTTCTCTCTTTTTTTTTTTTTTTTTCCCCCTTTTTTTTTCTCTCTCTCTCTCTCTTTTTCTCTCTCTCCCTCTTTTTTTCTCTCTCTCTCTCTCTCTCTCTCTCTCTCTCTCTTTTTTTTCTCTCTCTCTCTTTTCTTCTCTCTCCCTCTTTTTTTTTTCTCTCTCTCTTTCTCTCTCCTCTTTTTTTCTCCTCTCTCCCCTCTTTTTTTCTCTCTCTCTCTCTTTTCTCTCTCTCCCTCTTTTTTCTCTCTCTCTCTCTTTTCTCTCTCTCTCTCTCTTCTCTCTCTCTCTCTCTCTCCTCTCTCCTCTTTCTCTCTCTCTCTCTCTCTCTCTCTCTCTCTCTCTCTCTCTCTCTCTCTCTCTCTTTCTCTCTCTCTCTCTCTCTCTCTCTCTCTCTCTCTCTCTCTCTCTCTCTCTCTCTCTCTCTCTCTCTCTCTCTCTCTCTCTCTCTCTCTCTCTCTCTCTCTCTTCTCTCTCTCTCTCTCTCTCTCTCTCTCTCTCTCTCTCTCCCCCCCTCCCCTCCCCCAGCCTCCCTCTTTCTCTGTTTCACATACCCTCTTTTCCCTCCTGCTCCTCTCACATTTTTTTGTTCTTGCTTTTCCCCTTCTCCCACAACACTTCAAGAACTGATTGCTTCTCATCACAGCGTAGATAGCTTTTTGTAGAAGTTAGACTTGTTAGCAGCTTCCAGTCTCAGACTGTGATACAGATGATCGAGCTGATGGTGTTTAATGTTTGCAATATTTTAGTAGGTTTTAAGCAATATGATGCTATTTTTCTTTCTCTCTTTTTGTCATTCAGCAAATTTATTTCCCAGACAGATTGAAATTCCTTTGAGAAGATAAGGCAGCCAGACAAAACCATGACCTCCACAGCACGCACGGTTGTGACAGCAAAAGAAACTTTCCAAATTCTGATGGAGGTCTCAAAACTTCTGAATACAGGTTAGTTTCTGTCTTTTTTCCTTGTACTTGTTTTCTTGCTGCTGTTTGTTTTTGAATTTGATTACTTAAATACAGCTTAAAATGTCAAAATTGTGTACCACACACACTGAAGTATTTAATATTAATCACACAGCCACTACCACCCTCCTCCCTCTGCCTCCTCCATCCTATTTCTAGTAACCCCTTCATTATCTTTTCCCCTCTTCCTCCCCAATCCCTTTTCCATATTCTCCCGGTAAGAAATGTGTAATGTGTACCTTTTGTCTTCCCCAAAGGATTGGATGAAACTACCCTGGCCATATGTGTCCGGCTGTGTGAAAGTGGCGCTAACCCTGAAGCATTAGCAAAAGTCATCACAGAACTGCAGAGAGTGAAAAGAGAAGAGACAGGCAAGGGGCAAGGGGATGGAGGGCAGTGAATTGACTTTATGTGGAATAGTAAAAGAAGTCATGTAGATACTCATTCAGCTTTTTTTTCTTTCTTTCTTTCTTTCTTTCTTTTTTCCTGATATCATGTTAGGAAAAGTACATCAATTATAATATTTTGTGATTTGTACACAATGTGTAATTTGATGCTAATGGTTTTAACTTCAGATATTCAGTTCAGCAGTTCACAAATAATGGAGATTAGTTCATTAGTTTTGCACACAAGAAGTGATCTATAAATAGGAAAAGCATATATGTATGGATTTTTTCCACTCTTCCTTGAAATTTATGTTGCAAAAATATAACAAAAGTAGCCATAATATTTTCTTTATTATATCTGAAAAGCAAGATATTCTATTGTATAGTGGCATTCTACATCATTTTTAATCTGATTGAGTTAGAAATGCTTTCCTTTAAAGAAAAGATCTGATATCACAAAAAAATACTGTTAACCAGCATTGATAGCACTATAACAGAAGAACTCGATGTTTTGAAAATATATACAAGGTCATGAAAATTGAAATCCAGAATAATCAACTGGAATATCTCTGCTATACTTACTTTTATGATGATGAAGTTTGAAAAGTAGTAGTTTGAAATGAACTGTTACAGTACATACTAATAATACTAGTTATATTTTTTTTCTTTCACGTACAATTCAGTTTAGATCATATTTGCAAAATATTTAAAATCATTCTGGGATGCTAAGATTCAGGTATAGACCTGATTTCATTCATCTTTCAATTTTTCTCTCCATAAAACACATATACTAAACATATGATACAAAAGTCTTGCTTTTTTGTCCCCTTTTAAGGGAACAGTAATGCTAGTCATCAGTAGTTTAGTAATCTCAAGGCAGTAATACAATTATGTAAGAAGAGGCATTTGATGGTCTGTCTACATATGAATAGTTTTCTGTCATCATCATTATATTGAATATGAATACTGTTTTTGTTTTATAAAGTTTCTTTCATATTCTTGTGGATGTGAAAAAATCAAAGACAGACTAAAATAACACTGTTATATTAATACAGCCATTTCTAAAACTGCAATATTGGAAAAGTCTATAGGAAATATCAAGTAATTGCAACTGATTACATTTTCTCAAAGGTTATATTTGACAAATGTTTAGTGGAAGAAAGCCATCTGGGGAGTTAGCTTTTGTTTCAGTCCTGAAATGGAATATTAACTTTTGTCTTATTATTGAAAAGAATCCCTCCAAAAGAGTTAATTAATTTTATTTTTGCCATACTTTATTTTTGGTATATACATTTTTACTTTTTAGAATTGAAAAATTGCAAATTTGAGCACTGCATTTTCAGTGGAGCATGCATTATCTGTGGCAAAATTTTGCATGTAAATAAAGTGGAAAGGTTTGCCAACATACAGAATATTTGATGTGAACATTTCTTGGTTGAATAGTATATTGCTTAAATAACTAGCCTTTTGAAATTGACCTCAGAAAATTAATTAAGTATTATTTTCAGGTTTTATTCTTATCTAACATAATTATACATACCATAATTGCAATCCTGTCTGTGTATGTTCCTCAACCAGGAAATTAATAAATGTTTAAAAAATATACTTTCTTTGAATGGATTATATACCAAAGAGTTAACTGACGTTTTATCATTCCTCTTAAGACAAAATATCAAATATATGAAGTATAATTTGGAATTTTTCTTTGGCTAAATTGACATTGGTTAAAACTCCTTGTTTTGCCCATTTTGAGATGTATGTACTGTTTGCAGCCTTTAGGTATGAGCTACAAGCTCAAGAAGCCTTTCCCTGTTAATTTCCAAATTCTAAAGTCATAATAAAAGCGATTAACTGAACTGATTTTCATGTTTAAAGTTTTTTGTATATTAATTAATAGTCTTGGCATAGCTACTTCAACACAAATAAAATGAGACTATTCCCACCTTCATCAGCCTAAAATTTTTATAAGCAAAGGCAAGAAGATAGGCTGCTTAGCACCTTTTATGATGCTAAATACTGAGGACCAATTCTCAGAAATAAATTAAGCTTCAAGATATATAGCTGGTAAGTTGTGTAAGAGTACATGTTATGGAATTAAGGATTCACTGAACTGGTGCCAGAACATTTCTACACCTAATAAAAATGGATAATGTCCATATCCTTCACCGTTATTATGATGATGTTCATGAATAATTCAAATGTAAACATGGATACAGAAAAATATACGTATATGCATTGTTTCCTTTTTTGTGAAAATTGCTTTGAGTATCATTAGATTTAAGATGATACTGTATGGTTACATTTATTTTGAACCAAAGAAATAGAAGCAAGCTTTCACTTCTTGACAATTAGTCCTTATAGTCTTTTATAACCACTAATAACTTCATTATCTTACTTAGTTTGATCAGAATCATAGCATTTCTAAGGGAAAAGAAACTGCTACACATTTTCATGAAGATATTTTTTATTATTGTGTATATATAATTTCTGTACAATGTGGAAGTTGGCACAAGGCCACTGGATTCTGGGTGATCATCTGCCCTTATTCCAGTTACCTATGATAGACCCTCTAGAAACCAGAGGAGACAAAGACATCGGTAAGAGAAGGTATAAACTTAAGGGGTATTCAGGAAGATTTGGGTTCAGAATTTTATCCCATGGGAGTCTGCTACAGCAGGTGAAGAAGGCCGGCAGCTTGAGGTAAGTTGAGACTGACACACCTCGGGCGGTCTTTTAGGGAAGAAGACTAGGAGACCAGACGCAGACAGTGACAGCTCAGTAATTCTATTTTAAAGATTACACAATTTGGACGCTCAGGCAAGAGTGGTTGGTTTATAAAGATTTAAATCAAACAGGCCGAAACAGGGAAAAACTATTAATTTCTTTTTCACATATGCAAATTAGAATCAGGGGGTTGGACAAAGAGGCTGCCAGGGATACAAAATATAATTTATCTATGAAGACCCGCATTAATTGGCTCTTCTTGAAATAGAAAAACAATATTAGCAACAATTCTCTCATGCATTTACAAGAATAGCACATAAAACACTAATGAAAGTAAGACATTAGCTACACAAAAACCTACACAAAAAAAAAAACAAGAATTATAATACAAGTATATGTTTATATAATCATTAAACCGAAGAAAAGAAAAGCTGCTGATGTGACTGCCTTTGGAATACATAATGGAGTGAAGCTTACATTTCAGAAACAAACAGGAACATGTTTCATCTAGCCACAACATTTACACTATTTCATACTGCAAGGTATGCAATATCTAAGGTCATGGCTTCAATAAAATGTTATATTCATTACAGCTTTTTGGATTACATGTAATCATTTAATTCATGCAAGTCAACCTCTTTATATACTGAAAAATATTAACTGCAGTTACCAAAAGATGTAGTTAATCCCTCAGAGAATAAATATATATATAATTGTATATATATGTATATGTTCAAAATTTTGTATAGATTTACATAGGACCCAGAAAAGTCGTCCACACTTTTTTTTGGTATATAATCGCTACTGAAGCATCAAGCAGATGGAAAAGACAAATACATACTTACTGCTGAGGTCTATACCATAATTCAGTTCTCTTTGTCTTGATGCTCATGTGTTGACTTCTCATTTTAGTGAAAGTACCACTCTTGAAATGCTTTCAAAGGTACATTCATAACAAATTGACAGTGATTAGTTGAAATAAAATTCTCATCAGTAAGACATACTGTACGAAAACAGATGACAACAATTTAACTATTTTAACTTCACTAATGATGGCAGAAAGAAGAAAAGTGCTCAGATATAACTGATACATCTTTTTACTGAGACCAAACCTAAAGATCTTTCTTTAATAATAACTACTACAGCCACTCATTAAGAAAAACATAAAGAGCATTTGCACTATTTCCACACCTCCTCAGTCAATTACCAACACCAGAAGTTTCTAGAATGTTGGGACGTATTTACAATCCAGCACTAGAATATTTGCAACTGATATATCTTTTACCAGTCCATAAATTGTAATTTAAATTGTAAACTGTAAAAAGAATAAATGAAAAAGATAATAAAAAATCTTTATATACCAAATCCTGATTTCTTATTCATAAACTTGAATAGTATTTTTATGGGTAAGGACTAAATAATATTCATTTGTTTGTAATAAATAATTGATACATTTACAATATCTAGCAATATTTATAATAAATAATACATAGTCTTTAAATCAATCTCTCAAAAACAACAAAAAACAAATTACAAGAGATATACTCCTTCACACTAGCAAAATCAGACATCTGGGTTTCATAAGAGACTTAACTATACAGCTCACATAACTCCTGCTCTTGTCTGAATATTGAACTGCAGTATCATCGAATCTTTGTAAATATCATAATACAAGATATAAAGGTCTGGTCTCAATATTAATATTCCCTTTGAAAAAGACTTTCAAAGCATGGTTGGAAGTACTAGAACCCCTCAAAGTACGAAGTTTGTGGCATAATATAATAATATGGATGGATCTATTTTACATAAAATGAAATCTGGCAGGCAGTTAAATGTGCTCTTAGCTTGTTACATATAAAATTCTTTCTTCCAGCTGATTACAATTCTTTTTTTTTTCTTCTTCTTTACAAGACCCATAATTGCACATAGAAACATTAGAGATTCTAGTCAAAGAAAAGCAAGGAAATTTTTCTTATGCACATTATCAAACACTTTAAAACATAAAAATAAATTGTTACAGTAAAAATGGTAAAAAACTCCTGCCCATCCTACAGCCACAAGGCTCTAGGGACAGTGTTAACATCTTTACAAAAAATACAAAAAAACATATTCAATGTACAATATACACTTTTACACATTTGGTTTCATAACTAACTGGTCAAAACATAAAGTCAATACCACCAAGTACTTAAGCTACTTGTTTTTTCCTAAACAAACAGAAAAGCAGTCAGCATTGACCAAATAAAATACTTGTTTCTTATCTGTAATTAAGTCGATATAGGCCACTGACAGAGTAATCTCCATCATGCTTAAACACTGACTATCAATGCTGATGCTTGGTGATACTGCTGGTGTAACTGGATGACCTTTAGTTACTGGTACCATGTAAATGTGAGAGCGGGTTTCTTATGCTTTTGGTAATGGGGGCAACCCATGCCAACTTTCTGGCTATGACCAATAGCTGCAAGCCTTACTAGCTATCTGCATATGCTAGAAATATACATGGTCAAGCTAGTTAGTTGAATACCAACAGTAACTAGGGTCAAGCTGATTCTGGGCACCTCTCCATTACTGTCCAATGACCAGCCCACATTGTAGCACCATTGGAAGAAACCATCGTTTTGCTCACCACAATACATGTAACAAGGAATTTCCCTAATGCTAAAATCAAAGGTACTTTACATCAATAGGGACATTAAGAAATATAATTTCATATTCAAGTGGAAATATTATACTAATGACTTCTTAAGTCATGACGACTGCCTTTACCAGTTTGACTGGAGGCATGCAGTAAAGGTCGGTGAGAAGGCCGTCCCCCTCGACACCGCCACTTCATCAGCACCGGCATATCACCATTGTTCTAACATAGCCCAACCATAATTAAGGGTTCTGTGAACCATGGCAACATTCATTAAGTAACAATCTTACATATATAATAACACTAAGCCTCCTTTCAGGTGCAAGTGGGGTAATGCTTAACAAGACAGGTGGCCACTAGCGTCGCAGTCGTCATTGTCGTGTACTCAGGTGGGTTGAGTCTGACCTCTTTGGTGGTGGAGGGGGAGGCTTTTTCCTTCCAGGCATAGTCTGTGAGAGTCTGTTCAGGTCCTCAGCATGAGGGGGAGGTGAAGGTTGCAAAGTATGGCTGGCAATTGGTCTTGGCATATCTACTGTTTCTGCACTGGGTTGGGGAGGTGAGCCATGAGGAGAAAGATTTTCATATAGGCTGCCATAATGTTCCTGGATCCAGGCTCCTACATTACGTTCAGTTTCACTGGGAAGTACAGGATCTCTAAATCCTAAAACTTCATGGGGCATTTTATCAAAGTCTTTACACTTCTGTGCTACTTGCCATTTTTTCTGCATAACTCTTTGTAAGCTGGTTAGGAAAGATCTTGGCGGAGTGATCTTATTTCCTGGACTGTCTAGACGACCTGGATTTGACAGTCTTGTTGACTCAGACCGTCGTGGAAGAGGAGGTTTTGTCGTTGGAGATTCAGGCGCTGGTGGAATATCCTGAACATCATCTACAAAGGTAATCCTTTTAACTTTCTTCTGTGGACTCCTTTGTGGCTGTGCATAAACAGGCTGGTGTGGTGGAGGTGAAGGTGGAGGAGGTGGCAATGGGGATTCAGGATGCCAGCCATTTTTGTGAGGGGGTACATTTGTGTTTGGTGGAACATGAGCAGTGTGAGCACGTAATTCAGCTAAATATGGAGGTGAAGCATAAGTGGCCGACTCACTTGAGTCACGGCGTGGTTTGGGTGCAACAGCTGGAGGTGTGACAGCCTGATATACAGGTGAACCAGCTGATTGATACACAGGTGAACCAGTAGCTTGATAAACTGGAGAACCTGGACCTCTAGATTTATTTGGTTT